GGTTTGGAGGCTAGGGTTTGGAACTGTAACCTGATACCATGTAAGATGTGATAAATCTCACCACAATTTGTATGAGACAATCAATATGATTTAAAGAAAAAGATTACAATGTAAAAAAAGAAAATTACATCATAATAATGAGAGAATAAATGGTAGGATATTAGTCCTGATAACTAGCTCTTAACAGTTTCTATACATATGCATGGCATGTTTTTGTTTTTATACATATGCGTGGCATGCTTATAATATCAAAGGAAAATTCTTAATTGTGCGTGATATGATTGAATGGTTGAATGCATCCTGGATTATGTGATAACAAATAATAGCTTTTATTGCATTATGTATAGAGACATTCTTACGTTGCCAAAGAGGGTGTTCGACTTTTATTAATTAGTAATTATAATGACAATTGAAAGGTATTAGCCGAAGGGGAGAGAAAGCAAATCATTACAATGTCAATTGATACATGTTTCTTACAAGTGATAAATATCTATGGCATGTTAAAATTAGAATATGCGTGAGATCTCAATTTTGTTCCAAAACATGTTTTATTTACATAACCAATTATATATCTTCATTGGGTTCACGTGATCCATTTACTTTACGTTGGGGTTCCCATCATGACAAAAGGTAATTGTCAATTTCAATCAATCTTCTGGTCCTCGATTATCTTGATCTTTGACACTTGATCTTCTTCTAAGTTGAGATGATAATTTCTCGAATCCTTGTCTCGAAAAAGGGAGAAAGTACTTGCAAAGGCACTCTAATGCTTAAGTTAGTACTCAGTACAGAGCAATAAATATTGTAGTATTAAATAATTATACCTACCTTTCTGTCACATCAATATTATATTTATAGTGACTTATTTGGCCTGATAGACCATTTTGATTAAGAGATTAATAACTTGAGTTTCATACCTTAATTTGGACTGATGTGGACCTCTATTGTCTAACAAAAATTAGTGTAATGTGGCTTTAATAATAGCGGGTATTCGACTTATCTTATGGTCAAATACCCTTTCGAGTTATGCATTAGCCGAACCGGTACTTGGCCTTCAGCCTTCGTGATTGGGTGGTTGCTCAGCCTACGGTGACGTGGCTTCGGTGGTGACGAGTATCCGATTTTCCTTATGGTCGAATACCCTTTCGGGTTGTGCACTGGTTGAAGGGGTATTTGATTCTCCAGTACAATAGTGTTTTTGAAAACTATTCTTTTTTGACAATAGTATTTTTAATTGGTTTGTTTCACCAATAGTTTTTTCAAGTATATTTCTCAAGCTCTTATCGCTTATAATATATATTTTATATAAGTCTAAAATATAATTTATATAAGTTAAAAACCTAATTTGGTCCCTTATAATATTTTTTATTTCAATTTAGTCCCATTTTAATTTTTGGTTTCAATTTGGTCCCTAATAATTTAAATTAGTGAAATGTTAGACTTCCGTCAAATTATTTAAACGGAGTTAACTGTTGGTCACGTGGATGCCACGTGGATGCCATGTAGATGCATAGGTGGATGCCAAATTTCTTTAATGTATCTAGAACCAGAACGACCCATTCTAAAACCAGAACGACCCGTTCTAGTTGCACTATTGGTGTGTTAATTTTGCACCTGGAACGGGTCGTTCCAGGTGCAAAATTAACACACCAATAGTGCAACCTTCAGAACGGGTCGTTCTGGTTCCAGAATGCCAAACACAAACGATCGATGATTATAGGTTACGCCCGTGATTCTAAATCACGGTTGTGAATCGTGCAAGGAAAAAGACCCAAGGTACAAAACATTTTAAACACTGGATTTGGTAATATTGTCAATGGGGATTAATAACTTCAATTGCTAAACATTTGGGTTATATAGTGTATCATTAAGGATAATGCAGTATATCACTAAGGACAATGGTGACAGGTTTTATTTCATTGCTAGTCAAACTGGAGTGAACCACTTACTACCAAATCGACATTATACAGTCAAGGATGAAACAACATGGTGTTTTCCCTTGAAGTCATTGGTCGATGTACTCCAACAACAATAACTTGTTCTTGAGGAGGTACAACCTGAAGTAAGGGAAAAGGATAGGGATGGCAATGGGGTGGGTCGGGTACGAGTTTCATGATACCCGTCCTCGTCCCCGGAGTTAAACCCATCATCGTCCCCGTCCCCATACCCGTCAGGTATAGATTTTCATCCCCATCCCCGTCCCCGTCGAGTATCGTGTATACCCGTACTCGTACTCGTACCCGTACCCGTCAATTTTTTTATTTATTTTTTTTTTTTTAAATAATATTTTTAAATTATTTTTTTTATTATATTATATTATATTATAATTAGGTTATTTCTTTATCTCATATTATAATAAATAATCATACATAAAAAATATTAATTTTTTTAATATAATTAAATTGAAAGTGAATATTAAATTAAAAAAGAGAACGAGGACGGGTACGGGTACGGGACGAGTAAGTACATACCCGTACCTGTAGCCGTACCCGGTCAAATCGGGTATTCCCCGTCAAAGTCGGGACGGGTTCGAGTATTACCCGCGAGTACGGGTATATTTGTCATCCCTAGAAGAGGACACACATGACCAACATTTCACCACACAACCACATGTACAGGTAGATAATGCTGATATCCTGTCACCCATTCAGTGTTATATGGTGGATAAGATGTATTATTGACACCTTCAACGTTATCTAGATGATTTTCCTTCTCAGTAATTTCTTTGAACTTTCTTAGTATATGTTATGTTATGAATTTTTGTTTTCAGTCTCTAAACCATATTTCTGTCTTTGAATTTATGTTATGTTATGAATCCAGAACGGCCTGTTCTAAAACCAGAATGGTCCGTTCTGCTTTCAGAACGGGTCTTTGAATTTATGTTATGTTATGAATCCAGAACGGCCTGTTCTAAAACCAGAACGACCCGTTCTGCTTTTAGAACGACCCGTTCTGCTGCACTCGTGGTGTGTTAATTTTGCATCTGGAACGGCCTGTTCCAGATGCAAAATTAACACACAACATGTGCAACCAGAACGGGCCGTTCTAGTTTCAGGTGCATTAAAGAAATTTGGCATACACCAATGCTACGTGACATCCACGTGACTAATAATTAACTTTGTTTAAATAATTTGGACAGAAATCTGACATTGTGCTAATTTAAATTATTAGGGACCAAATTGAAACAAAAAATTAAAGTGAGACTAAATTGAAACAAAAAAATATTATAAGGGACTAAATTAGATTTTTAACCATTTATATATTTAAAAATATTTATTTATTATAATTTTTTGTTATAATATTATATAATTACAAGTATTTATTTATTCTAACAAAAATTATTTATTTTATTATAAACTGTAACTATACAAATAAATATTTGTCCTAGCATTGCATTAGCTAAAATATTTGTTTTAATAATTAAGCTTCTAAAATAGTGCAATGATATAAACAATTAATTTATATTCGTTACTAAATAATGACGAAGAGTGTCCATACGTTAGGAGGATTAAACAAGATACACATCATGAAAAACCAACCCACTAAAATAACTTTTTTTTTTTTTATATATACTGTAAACCCAATAAAATAGCCTAATAATAAGATATTGGTTAGTTTGGATGAAATCATACTTCAAATTTTGTTACGAAAAAGTCAACCTAATCGTGAGAATTTGATTAAATTTAAATTGCATAAGATTAGGTTGCAATCTTGTTCCCAATGTTGTATATCAACAAATGACAAGAAAAATCAAGATATATAATCAATAGGTGATGCAGTAATTATAAACATTAGTGAGACTGAGGCCTATCAGTTTGGTTGTGCAGGCTTGCTAGCCCACAAAGGTTGATTTGTTTTTTGTCAAAATAAATGGGCCTAATGAAAGCAGATAAAACAAAATGAACCTAGTGGGCTTGACCCAACTATTCCTACAAATCAAAATTGAATGTCAAAGAGTAAACAATTTGAGCACCTTATGTATACAGCAAAATGAATATGCTGAATTGTTGAAAACATTGCTACTTGATAAGCATGTCAAATATTGGAGCTGTACCTAAAATAGATTGAAAACCAATTTTTACCTAGGGTTGGTCACTTTGATTTTCTATTGCCTGAAAAATAGCATAGATAAACTAATTTTTCAAAGGTCTAACAGAAACAAACTAAAGTATGAGGAACAAGCACAAATAGCATGGAGGGCAGCAACATTTTGATCACTTGGTACAACATTAAAATCATAACCAATTATTGGATATTCTAGTGATTTCAAACCCTCGAGCTAGTACAATTCCTTTTTACCCGACACAACACAAGGAAGACACTTCAAATGAGAAAACTATTTTTTTTTTGTTCCACAGTTCACACTATACATTTTAAGGCACTAATGCTGGCACCATTTTGTGCATCTGTTTCTAGAATCTGTTCAATCATCAGACCCAGGAGGACTCTGAAAATAGATTCTGATAGCATTTCAAATACTGTTTTGATTGAAATTGAAATAGTCATTGCATGACTCAAAACAAGTTTAGAGACCAAGTTTGCAGGCCAACTATCACTATCATTCATGAAGTGTTTATTTGGAAAAAGATTTAAATGATCCTACCATCCATAATTTTTTACTATTTACTTCCAAAATAAACAATAGCCTTTGAAAACCTCCAACTACTAGTGCAACAATGACCTCAGAAAAAAATATCAACAACCTTACCACCTTTCCCATTCGGATTTTACGGTATACATTAATGATGACACTATAGCTCTGAACATGTCATCACACCCATTTGGGGCACGGTGTTGAATATATCTCTTGTCTTCATCAATCCAATAATCAAGCAATCCTCATTCTTGAAGTATTATAAGCAACAACATTAATACATTATTAGATTCTTTAACCTTTCCAGTTTCCACACTTCTGCATAATGCATCAACCTGATTGGCAATGCATAAACTAAATACCAGAGTTCATCAACAGGTAACAAGAAAAGAGAGATTCTGCAAACAATAATAAATAACAGACCTTTATTATAAATTTATCTTTACATAGGCTATCAATGATTGTATTACACATCATCATATCAAACTTAAACACATATTCCTCTCCCAAATCAATGATTGTATTGCACATCATCATATCAAACTTAAACACATATTCCTCTCCCAAAGATGCAACCATTGTCTTCCATTTTTTTACTACAAAGCCAATGCTTAAAATAATAAAGCCTATTTACAAAGTGTAATCTTATTAAAAGGTCAATACCTAATTTGCATTCATAAGTCTTCCACATTTGCATAGTCCATTGATCATAATAAGCAAATACATCTCGATGTGTTCTTCGATTTTCTTGAATAATGCAATTGCCTTTTCTTGAATAATGCAATTGCCTTGATAAGATGATGACAATTTTTATAAAAGTTGTCTAAGAAGGAATTGGTAGACCTTCACCATGCATCTCCTGATTTGCACAAACCATCAATAAAAACATTTTCTTAAAGAGATTCATGGCTTCATCCACCATTTACATCACGAGAGCCTTGTGTTGTCCACTTCTTCAATTAAAGAATACTCATCTATTAAAGAATTATAAGTAACAACATTAGGTTACTCAAGCATTTTCCTCAAGAAATCAATTGTGTCTTCCAATTGACCCTCATAGATTTGAGTATTGTGAGCGACAACATTACCGGAAATTCCCTCCTCAACCATGTCAAAAGATAAAACACAGGTATCAATTACCTGTTTATCTTTGCATAGGTTATCAATGATTGTGTTATACATTACCACAACACCCTCAATGAAACCTCGTGTTTTATAAAATTTACAAATTTCTATTTTCACCATTAAGACAGAGACCTTCCTCACTGAAAAAGCAAACTTTAACATGACCCATATACCAGAAACAGTTGATCAAGATCTTGAGAGTAACAGAATCTGATTCAACAATTCCACCAATTCCCATGACCTGCATATGCATAGAAAGGGAAATAGCAACAAGATCACGCTTCATCCTCACAACGGATACTGAAACCTTGTTACTGAACGTGAAAGGAGATTCCATTGGCACTGTGAATGAAAAGTGACAAAGAATGAGAAACAAAAACATAAGGAAAGGGCGAAAGGTTGAAGAAACAGAAACAGCGTACCTTAAGCATGACAAAGACATTCTGTTGCAACTCTTGGTGCGGCGCCCCAGGGCACCTCAGTTTGATGAATCATTCTCATTCTATCATAATATATAGGCTCAGAGGCAGAGGATAGAATTGGAATATTTTTTATTTTGATATTTTTTTCTTTATAATTTCTGAATATTAATAAATTTCAATAATTTTAACCAATTAAAACTATGTAAAAGTTAAAAGTGATTATCAAATTTGTATATTAAACACAATGGACTATTTTGTGGAGAGAGTTTTCTTTAACAAGAGTATTAACAACTTCTATATAAATATAAATGACTCTATGTATTTGTATGATTAATGTTTTTATTTTAAAATATTAAAAATAAATAGATACGAATATAAAAAATGGTTTATTAAAGATGATGAGTAATTAAAAATATTAAATATTCAAATAAAAATGAAATAAAGTAATTATAGAGAATATGAAAATGAATAGGAAACAGGAAAATGCACATATAAAAATATTAAGAGAAATAAAAATGAAAATATTTAATTTTGTAACAATAATAATTTTACTCTCTAAATTATATATTTTAATTTATAATAATTTTTTTATTAATTAATTAATTTATTATATTTCTAATTATAAATAATTAGAAATATCCATCAATAAAAAATTATTAAACTTTTAATAAGAGAGACAAAAAATGTATAATTATGATATTAAACACTATGTAAACAGTGATACTTGATCTAAAAATCTTAGCATGTCATTAACATCCTACTTGATTGTCATGAGAGTATCATCTTTTATCTACATTTCACTGATAAAATAAATTAAAGAAAATTATATCATACAATATACATAATTTATATAAGGACCAAAATTACACGTACATTTATTATTACTAAATAAATAATATTAATTAATATTAATATTAATAAATAATATTAGTAGTAATTAATGTTAACAAATATAAATTTATAAATATAATTCGACATACATTAATTATTAGTATACATTTATTAATGTCCAATATATTATATATTAATATCTAATAAATATATAATAATTCATATTTATTGACTTTTTAATATACACTAATGGTATTAAATATTAGTATTAATAAATTGTTAGTTCGAGTAATATCGAATTTAATCTCTTTAAGTAATATCTCATATTCGAAAAAGTGATTATGTTACTTGATGGAAATTAGTTATTGGCGAAATGATGGATACTCCATAGTTTGTACTAATAACATGATTATAAAAAAATATTAATAAATATATAAATTAATAAATATTTAATAATATTATAAAAATAACATTAATAAATTAATTGTGATTAATCTTTTTTTTAATTCACCATAATTGAACGATATTAAGAGAGTTTGTATCAATTCATGCACTCTATTCAACTAATGCGCTAAACCTCTTAATATTAAATATATTAATATGCTTCTACATAAATATAAATATACTATATATAAAAAATATTTTTTTTTGCAAAAGTATGATATAAATATAGTTGAAGAATGTTAACAATAAATATATGATATATGTAACACTATTGATTTTATGACTTTTGTTTACTAATTATATAAATTTTTGTTGTTTAAATGTTAGTCACTATTCAGAACACTAAGTCAAAAAAGTGAGTTGGTCTCTTGATAACTAGACTAGAGATAATTGGAGTCAACGTAGGAAGGTATAAAAGGAATTTCTTGAAATTCAAGCATCATAACTTAAGTTTTCAAGGATCTTAATGAAAGGTTAGTGAGAGTTTCTCTAAGAGTCCTAATTTCTCCTTCTTTTTTGAGTGATCTTGCTCTCTTTTTATAGTTGATTGAGGTGTGCTAACTTTGATTATAAGCTTGTGGACTAAAGAATCAAAACTTGTGAAGTCGAAGTCAGATGGAGTAGGTTTTCCCTTCCTCTTCTAGATTGGATTTTTCAAGAGGTAAAAAAAGCTTATCATTTGTTGATTTTACATTGTAGTAATGTTTTCTATTGAATCCTTTTACCTTGATGGTTGTTTAGATTGTAAATTATGGATGAGATAAGGGGTTGATGTGGGTTTTGCTTCTTGGAGGTGTTGGATGAAATTTTCGGTGATTCTTATTTTGAAGTACTTCCTATCTGGATCTTTTTCCTTTAGCACGGTTAGATGCTCAACCTCATCAAAGGCTGAACTTTGATACCAAACTATGGAGAAAAGATAGACACTAGAAAGGGGGTTGAATAGTGTATATCAAAAACTCGTACATTTTAAAGTACGTGAAGTAGTATCTACAATAGACAAAGAGTTAGTAAGAGTAATCAATGAATACAAAAAGCTTTTATACAAGTTCACCTCAACCACTAAGGTTACATCCAGTTCTCAATCCAATTAGATTGAGTTCCACTAACTTTCAACAAAGTTACAAGTATTCTTTTACCAAGTCACTTTTGACTCAAACAAGTGTTCTTTAATTGACATCTTCAAGTCACTACCTAAGTATTCTTTTATAAATAAGTCTCTCCAAGCTTAATTCCAAGTATTCTTTTACAATTAAGCCTCTCCAGGCTCTAACATATAACAATGGTTATGAAGGTATTACAAGATTGTAGTTGTCGTCTCTTTTAAACGTGATTATAATAAACATTTAAGTATAAGAAAACTATTAAGGAAGATTTTCTAAGAGATGCATATTGTATCTAAAAAATTTTCTATGTTTTTGCTTATCTATGTTCTCTTAAGTTCCAAAGCTTCTTATTTAGTAGCTTTGAAAGAGATGACCGTTGCAACTTCTTGAGTTTGATTCATAGAATTGTTTCGCCTTACTACTTCATTTGATCTAGAGAGAGAAGAAGTATCCATTGGTGCATTAAATGCTTCAATTAATATTTTTCACCTAATCATACTCCTTATTTTTGACAGATTAAGCTACTTATTAGAGTAGAGTAGCAAAAGGGGAACAACAGGAAGCAAATTCAACGTGCAACGAGGATGCAATACTTTTCCAATGCCTTTTCTATGAAATTTGGGATCTTTGTCCTTTATTTTGATGTTCTTCATGCTTTTATACACTTTTAACAAAATGTGAGTTTCAAGACAACTGCTTTCAATCTATTAAGATATAAAACACTCATTTGAAAATTTAAAAGTGTTTGTCACAATAAATAATGATTGTTAAGAATAATTTATATGCTTTGTTTGATTTCTTTCATCTTACAAACACTACTTCATCTTACAAAGTTTGAAAAATAACTTTTACAAAGCGTCTTTTTACTAAAAGATGTGGTGTTTGTTATCATTAAAACTTATAAAACATGAGGGATAAGATCGTCTTTTGACTTATTAGTTCAGTTGAGGATGACTTAAAGGAATTAATTTGTATTACCTATATCAACAACATGCATATACTTTTTGGTACCTCATCACTTAAGAACATCAAAGTTAAGTGTGTTTGGTTTGAAGCAATTTAGGGATAGGTGACCTTTTAAAAAGTTTATGAGAAAGTATGTGAGTAAGGACAAAATACACGGAAAAGTCTTGTGTTAGCTTGCGGGGTTAATTGTTGATCCCAAAGATGGACAAACAATCTTAGAAAAGGTTATCCATGGAAGATTTTGACTGCAGAAAGGTTCTAACCAACACAAAATTGCGTGAAATGTCACTATGAAAAATGTCGTGAAGTGAAACTATTGAGACATAATTTGAGGAGTGTTAAAATAATACTAATATTTTAGCATTGTATTATACAATCTAAAATACTTATTATATACAACTAAATTTTGTAATAAATTATATATACATAATACTATATTTGGATATATAAGTTATGTTTTATTAAAAAAATTTATAAACATCTTGAAATATATAAATTATAATTTAAATTTATGATAATTAATTTATACTACGAGACAAATTATTTTTAATTATCAAAAAAGATTATCAATAATTAAAAATATTTTTACCACAATATAAATTATTGATCATAAATCTAAAATATAATTTATATATTTAAAATTATTTATTTATTATATATTTTAATTGTGATATAATATATATATATATATATAATATTTATTATTATAAATTTAGTTATATAAAATAAATAAGTATCATTTGCAATCTAAAATGTTAGTTTTCCTACAATTTCTTATACAACTAAAAATTATAATATGGAAAATTTCATTAAACTATCATAAAAGTTTAAAAGAGATAAAAAAATAAAAATAAAAACAATTTATGAGAGTTTGGAATTCTAGTTTTATAGTGGGAGAAGAAGATTTGTGTGTGAAGCGACTAAACATATTTGTTTAACATTTAATGAAAGGTAAATTAGTTATAAAAATGTGATTTAGTTATATTTTTTAATCTTTTAAAATTAGAGTATCTATTTTTTTTTGTTCAAAATTTAAAATTCATGTTTTATATCTCTAAAATATTAAAAAAAATTATTATTTTGATGTTTTTAAATTTAGTTTTTTAAAATCACTAAAATCATAACTAATAATGATAAATTGAGAGGAATTAAAATAATAATTGTTAATATTTTAGAAACTAATAACATAAGTTTTGAATTTGAGAGAGGAAAATAATTATTTTATATAAAAAATTTGGTGTACAACACAAATAAACGAAAAGAGAAAAACGAAAATTAGATAAGTCTCACACCCCAATTCTATGTAAGTAGGGAGTGCGTCGTGCATCTTGCATCGACGACTAACAACAAATGAAAAGCAGCCTCAAAATCCACAAATGAAAGTACAGGAGCATTTAACAAAGACCCTTTCTTAGCCAACCAATTTACACAGGTGTCTCCTTGTTGAAGAACGTGATTAAGGATACACCTCCACTTTTATCTCATCATCTCTCGGATGAGTGCAATATCATTAGCATATCTATGATGAGGGTCAGCTCCTTCATAAACTAACTGAATCAGATAGAGGGAGTCCGACCTACACTAAACATGGGAGAAACATCTATCCCAACAAAACTGTAACCCCTTAACAAGAGTGTGAATTTTTGCATGTAGTATATAAGAAGATCTAATACACCTGTAGAACCAAAAATAAAGTGCCCCTCATTGTTCTACACC